CACACACACACACACACACACACACACACACACACACACACACACACGTCTTGGCAGGCTGGAGCAAATGACCCATGGTACACTTTGCCTCTCTGGCCGACTCCTAGCCCAGCCAGTGGAGGAATGTTCGGCAGTGGTACAAACAGCCAGGGTGGACCATCTCTGGGCACAGGGCAGGGCTCCGTCTTTAAGATGTCTGCTCTGGCCCCCAGACCTTGTCTGCAATCTCCTTTCTTCTCAGCTGGGCCAGGGTCATTTCCGGCAGTGTCTTCCTCCAAAGAACCCCTCTGTCTCCTGGCCCCCTGCTCCACCCAGTGTGTGGGCATCACAGTTGTGCAGTCCCTTCCAAACACCTCTTGAACTATACTTTTTTCCTGAGCTTTAAGGCTTCTATTCCTTGCCATTCCTCATTCTGGAATAGTCTTTCCATAACACCCCCACTGTCGGCGTACTTTTAAATCTACTTTAATTTGGGTTTCTTACACCTCTACCTCCCTTCACCCCAATCCCTTCCAACACCCCAGCACTGGGCAGGAGAGAAAGAAGGTTGGTGGGGGTTCAGCTCTCTTTAGCTACTTCCTGCTGGTAGCGTCCTTAGGGCAAATCTAATCTTTGTAGTCAGGATATCTTCAACTTCTTCTCATCAAACTGCATCAGCAGCAACCAGGAACAGCAGGAGGATCAGCAGCATTCTTCTCTCTTGGAGCCCCCCTTTCTCTCTCTGGGCCCTGGCATTTATTCCCTCTCCAAAGTCCTCAGAATTAAACTGTCTGTGGCTGGCAAAGAGCCCATCTCAGAACCCACACGAGGTAAATAATCTGCTGCTGTGGACAGTCTGAATCAGCCCCATATCTCACACCTAGGATTAAAACAAGAACATGTTTACATAACATAACTGAGTTTTTAGAGATACTAAAACTTTCCACTCCACCTCCACCATGTCAGTTCTTCCTTCAGACCTCAGCTGAAGCCTGAGGTCCCCACTCAGTGCCCATATTACAGCCCCAGCTATCACAGCATCCCACATGCTTTGCATCCTCCCAGAGTTTGTCACAAGATCAGCCTCTCCTGTCCTTCCCCTCTGTGCAGTCTGGAGCAGTCCGTTTGAAGCATCCTTCCCCTTTTCTTCCGGGAGCTGATGATGTCCCTGAGAACTCAAGACCTGTGGCCTAGGGCTGGCCAGAAAGAGCCCCACAGGCTCTCTGTGTCCTCTATTCAGGTAGCTGGGGCTCAGAGGCTACTAGGCAGTTGGTGTCACCCAGACCACTGAAGAATCAACCCTCTTCTCTGCGCTGTGAGCCCTTACGAAGTGTAGCCAGGAAGCAGGTAGCTAACATGGTTCAGCCTGAAGGTCTGGTCCCATTGCACATCTGTGCAAGGGATCGCAGGGAGAGCGTGAGGCTGGGAGTCTAATCTTCCCTGGCCTCAGCGGCAGGGTCTGCAGGGTGAAGGAGTCGCTGCGCCGTCTAGAGAGTGGGTTGTAGGTGCAGCCACCCCCTAAAACACAGGTGTGAGTTTTGCTACCTAGCTCCTCGGCAGCCACAGTCCCAAGCCCATCTCAGTAGTTCGGCCTGGGGTTGTAGGAGAATCCTGAGCCAGGGCACTGCTGGTGGCTGAGCTTGCCCTGCCACCTTGCACTGCTGGTGGCAGGTCACCTGCCAGCCTCTGCCATGGTGTCCATTTCAGGCCTTTGTCCTCCCTTCCTTCTCATATACCTCCTGGCCTATGGAGAAAGACAAAGTAGCTGTCCCCAAGAGCTGACCATCAGGTTGGTTGGAAGAATTCCAAGGAGGCAAGGTTTAGTGTGGCCCAGGAATAGGATTACAACCTCCTCCGCAGTGAGTGAGGGAAGAGAGGGGATGGGTGTGTTCTGCCGAAAGAGAAAAGGCTTCTGGGTGATGGTGGATGGACAAGTAGGTAGCTGGGTCCCTAGTGACGAGTTAACAAATGGAAGAAGGATGGGTGGATGTGTTGATACGTATGTGTATGGATTGAAGGAGGGAGGAGGAAAGGAGGGAGGGAGGGAGGGATGAATGGGTAGATGGATGGACAGACAGATGGGTGGGTTGGTCAGTGGGCTGGCAGAAGCCAGAGAGAGAAGTATGTGTAGTTGCTGTGTGTGGACGGCAGGTCTCCACATCTCCTCTAGGCATTGTGGTTGCAGGCAGAGTGGACATGTGCCTGTACACGAGCGCTCGCCTTCAACATCCTCCTTCTGTGTCCCCTGCACTCAGGGCCTTCCTCTTGTCAGTGCCCACTCCCTCCTGCTGAGGCCCAGACCCACTGCCAGCTGCTTCCCTGAACCCTCCACCCTCTCCTGTGCCAGGTGCCAGAGAGCCTGACCCTCCAAGCCCACTGATGCTGCCATCGTTCACAGTCCCTGTGCTCAGAGCCCACCTTTCGGTGGGGCCTGCAAACACTTGGCCGCAAAGCCTAGTTGAGGGAAGGACATAAAGGGCCTCTGATGGGACTTAAAACTTAGGCCAGTTGCCCAGGTGTGGCTTGGCCTCTGCAGGGTCCATGACAAGTAAGTAAGCAGTATGGGGCAAGCCAGCCTCGGGCCTGGGGTCTGCAAGGAGAATGGTGCCCATCACCACAGATGGCACATGCCAGGCTCAGGTCTCTAAGTGCTGGGCCTGCGCTTACCCTGCACTGCACAAGCCAGGCTTAGGCCCCAGGCGCTGGGCTTGCTGCCTGCACTGAGCTGCACTGCATGTGCACCCATTCCTCTATGAGCTCATTCACAGTGCAAGTTGACAGGGCCTCAAAGTGCAAACTGATGGCCTGGGGACTGAGCCCTGCTAACATGCATGAAGCCATAAATGGCTTTTATGAGTGATCCATTTCTAAGATTTAGGATATTTTGTATATGTGTCAGAATTTGTGACTTCTCGTTGAAAAGATTAAAAACTCTGGCAAGCTTGGGCCTTTGGTCTTGCCCAGTCCTCATGACCCTGAGGACTAGAGAGTTCATGCAGGAGCCTGGGCCCTACCTGGAGTGCCTGTATGGTTAATGAGCATATGGCCCTGGGGCTGACAACTCCGAGAAAGGCAGGGTACCTGCCATACCTGCTATGACATGCTGACTCTCCTTATCCCTGTTCCACAGTTTCACACAGGCCATGATGAGCCAGCCCAAGATGGAGGGCTTGGATAACAGCACCACCTACTTCCTGGGCCTTGCATTCCTGGTTTGGGGCCTCGTGTTTGTGCTGTCCAGCTTCATTGCGCTGGGGTTCACGGGGACTTTTCTAGGTAAGACCCCGAGGAGTGGGATGACCTTGAGCAGGTATACCAGGGTGCAAGGGAGAGCGGAGCCAAGGTATTGTCACCTCTGATGTGTCTTGAGAAGCACTGGAGGACCCGGCCTGTGAGGTTAGGACCGATTCAGTTTTGCTCTCTCATCGGACTCCAGGGCACCCAGCTGCTTCCTGGGAGACAGGAAAAGACCCTAGTCCTGGTTGATGGGCCCCAGAGTGCTCTCCTGGGCGCAGCACCTCGTCTGCATGCGGGGATGGGGTAGTTGTTTGTTCAGGCAGACTGTCTGCAGAGTGCAGCTGGACTGGAATAGGGCAGACAGGACTAGACCCTCTACCTCACAACCACTCTTGGGTTTGCTTAGCACACTTGGCTACCAGGTAGTTGGAGCTTGGCTATGGTAGTTACAGGCAAAGCTTGCACAGGGTAGAGGGATATGGTCTCTTCTCCAGCCTCCACTCCATGGGGCTCCAGTGCTTTGGGCCTAGGAACCCAAAGTGATCCGGTCTGGCCAGACACCTTCTCAACTCATGACAACAGTGACTTCCATCACCTTGAAAGCAAGAAAGGGCAATCTCAAGAGAGAGTGTGCAGAGGAGGCTGAGGATAAGGGGCTGCAGAGCATGGATGCCAGGAAACTGGGAGCCCCATCCACAGAGGTGCCTGTTCCAGCTCCCAGGATGTCCCTGAGGCTAGCATAGCTACCGGAGAGCTAGCTCTGCACAGGAGCCACCAGATTTGACCCCTCCTGATTGTCATGCAAAGACCAGGCCAGACTCTGAGCCTTAACCTCCACCAGGACCTCTGGTAGTCTTCAAAACCCTGCTGTCACCTAGCCTTCAGGACATAACATGGGCCTGTCCTCTGCCCGGGCCAGGCTGCCCCAGTGGCAGACTTGGAGCTCTCAAGTGTGTGCTTAGGAGTGACAATGCCACGAGAAACCAAGAAGCACATGAGCCAGGCATCCTAGTACTGTTGCTGGTAGATCAGTGCTTGCTGCTCAGGCAGGAGCTGCTGGGAGCCATCCTGGGAGAGAGTGAGGCCAGCCTGGTGTGAGGGGATGCAGAGTGCAGGCAGGAAGAGGGGCAGGTCAGGCGGGAGGCTACTGGCGGTGCTGGAGAGGTGTGGCAGGGCTAGGAGCAGATAAGGTCGCCTGAAGGACTGAAGCTTCCTTCCCAAGGAGGTAGGGACCTCAGAAAGGATCTCAGCAACAAAGAGTTGAGGATGAGCCTGTCAGTGGCAGGGCACGCCTCTAATCCCAGCACTCACAGAGGCAGAGGCAGGCCAAGACAGCCAAGGCTACACAGAGAAACCCTGCCTAAACAAAAAAAAAGAATTGAGGATGGGGAATGGTGGGCCAAGACCAGAGGTGCGAGCTTCGTGTAGAAACAGATCCTCCTCATGGAGATAGGAGCCAAGGAGCAGTAAGATGGTCACTCCTGTGGGTGGAAAAGGGCTGTGGCCACCTAAGGAAGAGATGAGGTAATGTCAAGTCCAGGAAGACAGGGTGGACAGGGCTGAGGAGTGGGGGCAGGGAAGGCGCTTATGCGGGTACCCGGGAACCGGAAGACAGACTGGAGAGCCCACCATGGTGATTGGGGCCAGATGGGGAAAATTAGCAGAAGTGAGTCAGAGGGGTGCAGCATCTCTGGCATGGCTTTTGGTAGACATGGCCTAGAAAGCAGAGAGCCCTGCAAGCTTTGGAAGTAGAGCAGAATGGTCCCTCTCCTGTGACTCAGCCTGAAGCAGCTTTCTGTGCCACCCACCGTCAGGCCCCACTGCCCCGCTTCCTGCTTCCCTCCAGTGGTCTCCAGGCAGCCTTTTGGAGTCTTGTACCTTTTGTCGCCAACAATGACTGCGCCAATTTCCCCCAGGCCCCTCCTGCAGGGGCTCCCCTTGTTGGGCTGGCTGCCCTACTTTCTGCCTGGGATGAAGCCGCATTGTTTTTCTGGTCTAATGGGGGACAAAGGAGAGGCCTGCTGAGAAAGGCTGCCCTGCCCAGTGGAGACACTGCTCACATAGAGGCCTGGACCAGATGCTGTGTTCTGTGGCATGGCCTGGTCACGGTGGGTGGATGAGTGGTCATCTGGTGGTCTTTCCCTGTGTCGGCTCCCCTGGGTTGACCTGCAGAATGACAGGAGGCATGTGGTGAGCAGGCCAGAGCCTCAGCTAACCCGTTCACGTTTGTTGCTGTGATAAAGAGCATGACCAAAAGCAAGCTGGGAAGGAAGGGTCTACTCGGCTTACATGCCACAGTCCATCACTGACGGAAGCCGGGGATGGAAACTGAGGCAGGAACCTGGAGGCAGGAACTGAAGTGGACTACAGAGGAGCTCAGCTGCCCTTTTGATACAACCCAGGGCCACCACCTACCCAGGGACAGCACCACCCACAGTGAGCTGGGCCTTGACTCCCCCACATAAATCATTAATCAAGAAAACGCCCCATAGACATACCCACGAGCCAACCTCATGGAGGCCTTTTTTTTTTTTTTTTTTTTTTTTTTTTTTTTTTTGAGTTAAGGTTCCCTCCTCCCAGGTGACTCCAGTTTGTGTCAAGGTAACAAAAGGAATCAGCACACACCCTGAGCATCTGGCCAGCCTGAGAGAAAGAACAAGGCTAGGGGGCAGAAGGGGGGGCAGCCAGGGTGGGAGGAGGGCAGAGCCTGCAGATAGGGAGCAGACATGCTGAAGGTGCGGGTGGGGGCTCTGAAGGGGTGTAAGCACTGTGAGGCTTCTCAGGATGGGGACAGGCAGACAGAGGCACCCGGAGGGGAGAAGGAGGAGACCGGTGTGCTGGGGCCCAGCAGAGAGAGGAACCAAGCTGGGAGCCTCAGTGCCCAGCTCACTTGCAGAGCCTATGGGAAGGCTCCGGTCCTGGGCGCCGTGGGCTCTGTTCCCACTGCTGCATGGAAGGCTCCTGGGACATAGGGCCCCGCCTCACCTGCAAGGCCACCAGGGATTTCTTTTGGTGATGGTGTGGCAAAATCAGAGAGGGCTAAGTGGGCCTCACATCCTCCCCCATCTCACTCACAGGTGACTACTTTGGGATCCTCAAGGAGGCCAGAGTGACCACGTTTCCCTTCAGTGTACTGGACAACCCCATGTACTGGGGGAGCACAGCCAACTACCTAGGCTGGGCACTCATGTGAGTACTTGTCACCTACACAGAGAAGGCTACACAAAAAAATAATTGAGGATGGGGAATGGTGGGCCAAGACCAAAGGAGCGAGCTTCCTGTAGAAGCTCAGTGTCCAAAACCAGACAGCCCTGTGCCACCCTCTCCTCCTGCAGCCTCCTGATCTCCCAGCGCACTTAGCATCTCTGCCATGCCCCACGCATATTGTCCCTTTGACGGGAACAGGCCTGCATCGATCCCTAGCCCATTCTTGCAAAACCATCTGGTGGTGTCCCCTCCTCCACAAAGTTCCTCCTGCTTCCTCAGGGTTTCCCGTGCCCTGGGCTGGAGTCAGTGATCAGTGGCCTGTCTCCTCTCTCATGGCAGAGCCAAAACACATGTCCATCTATGTCACTGGTAGTGCCTGGTGCCCAAGAGTGAAGGTCACTCCAAGCTCGGAGTGGCCAGGTCAGGGCTCCCAGAAACACGTGACACCTACCAGCTGCCGCTGGAGGATTTGGACATGCAGAGGCCCAGCATGCTGGGGATGGGGCTGTCACCTGAGGCTTAGTGGAGCTGACTTAATACCCTTACCTGGCAGCAGACACTGACCCAAGAGGCCTCCCACAGCCTGTCTGTCTTCTGCTTCTCAGGTCCCACTCCCAGATATGAGTCCTTAGCAGACAGGGCAAGGGGTTCCTAGGAGCCCAAGGCCTGTGTCAGCCTTTCTCCAGTCTTCTGCCTTTCCAGTCTGACAGCAAAAAGAGGGGTACTCTGGGCTCTGAGCTCCTTGATCTGGGCTGTGATCATCTGCCAGCAGGACTGTCTTGTCTGTCCTGGGTTGTTAGGAAGTCAAGCTGCACCAAGGTGCCAGTAAGTGGCCAGGTTTTCGTGGAGATGAGGGGTCGTGTCAGGGAGCCAGCTGACAGGACTGTTCATACCCATATCAGCACCTCCCAGCAGTCTTTGAACTTGCCTTGATCATGGGCCTGGTGCTTCTAGCTGAAACAGAAAGAGGGGGTATTTGCCCACAGCACCTAACATGTGCCAGAGAGCTGGCTGCCCAGAGCAGCCAAGAGCAGTCACCTACACCGTCATCTCGGATCAAGGCAGGGGAAGTTCTTTCAGGGCCTCCCACAAGCCTTTCGCTGGGGCCACATCAGTGACTGTTGTAGTCAATTGAAGACTTGCTTCATTTAGGAATATTGACAGCAGGTCAAGGTCAGTGAGTCCACCCTTTCCCGTGACAGGTGGGGAAACTGAGGCCGAAGACTGAGCTCACCTCAGGCCATATAGTAAATCTGTGGCAGAGATGGTCTTGTTGCTTAGGTTCCTGGCTCCCAAAGCACTTCCCTTCAGCTTTGCTCACCATTTTGTGAGGTAGTGAACTGTGGGGGCATGTTCACCGCCAGCTTGGTGTCCGGGCTCTCCCTAAGGATCAAGCCCAACACACCAGCCCAAGGTTTTATTAGCCAGCCATCTTCCAAGGCCTTTCCTGACCCATAGAACCCCACATCACCAGAAACACAGCTGAACCCTGGCTGGGGACAAAGTACTTATTTAGCCAGAATGAAAGTGAGAGCATCATGGCCACCGTCCCCCTCAGGCCAGGACACGGACATCAGGAGCTGTTCCAAGTTCAAAGTTGAAAGGAACAGCAAGGACAGAGTACTAATTTAGAGCCCAAAGTACTAATTTAGGCACAAGTTATGACCTTAAAGAGTTAGGGGGAAGTTCAGCTCAAGGCCTGCGGCATTGGCAGAGGTGGTGGCCAGACTCTAAGGGCAGACGAGCCTCGTGTCCCTGCCCTTCCCGGACAGACGCACGGACAAACTGGCCAATGTGAGGTTCAAGTGGACATTAGGGAGTGAGCAAGGCAGAGGGGCCCTAAGGAGACATACCCTCTTGTGCCCTCTGCCCTTGGGTGGCTACATACGTAATGGGGTTATTCAAGGCAAGCAGATCCCCCAGTGACCTGAGGTCTCTTCCTGTCCCTTCTGGTTCATTCCCTTCCTGCTGAGGTGGCTGCGGCAGCCCAGGCCCTGCAGAAGCCAGAGGAGCCAGAAGTAACCATAGAAATGGACTAGGGGGCAGCTTGGCAGCAGCTATTTCTGGAAACCTGAGGCAGACATGCTGGGACTCCTCCCTGCTGTCACTAGCAGGCTCTCTGCATTCATTGGCAGAGTGAGGTCAGAGACTGGTCACCTGCAGAGAGCCATGATAGATAGGCTGTGTACATTCTGCCAAGGACTCTTTGGGACTCCCTGGGCTAGGATGCTAGAAGGTCAGCTCAGGGCCTGGGGCAGTGGCAAGTGCAGGTGGGCCTGTGTGCTGCGCTGTGCTGTGCTGTGCTGTGCTGTGCTGTGCAGTACAGTGGAGGAGCCCCTGCCCCTCCCAGACAGACTCATAAACAGACTGGCTAGTGTGAGGTCTGAGGGGCATTAGGGAGCGAGCATGTCAGAGGGCTAGTGTGAGACCACTGGCTCTGAGGGGAAGGCCTTGGCGTGGGAAGAAGATCCTTCCCCCAACCAGGGCCACCCCTGACAGTGGCTTTGGGCTGAACTTGTATATGGGCCAGAGATCAGATGGCAAAACCTGCCCATGAGGCCATGTGTGTGCTCATGGCAGCCCAGGGCTGGCTCCCCCCTACTCCAGGAGGCTTCCTTCCTAAGAATATTATGTGGTGGGCAGTGGAAATGTTCCTTGTCCCAGAGCCTTGGTCTTAAGGAGGAGGCAGCGAGTACTTCACAAGGTGTCCTTCCTCCCTCCCGCTTCCCTGGGCCTCTCTAGAGAATCAGACTTAGGAAGGGGGCACCAGCAGACTTAGCTCATCCGCCAGAAGGATCCCAGCACCAGCTAAAGACCAGCCCTGAGCCGGTAGGAGTGACTCAGTCCTTCCAACTGATGGTCCATCTGTCTGCAGGCACGCCAGTCCCACGGGGCTGCTGCTGACAGCGCTGGTGGGGCTCGTCTACGTGGTGGCCCTCCTGTATGAAGAGTGAGTAGATCGTGGTGGGGTGGGAGATGGATGTGATGGTGGCCGAGTTAGACCAAGCCTCTCATCTAGACCTGCGCTTTTTGGCCTGGCAAGCTTCACCAGGCCTGGCTTGGAAGGCTGGGGAGGGGAGGGTACACCTGGCCCCTGAGACCTAGGTAGGCAAGCATGTGGCCCTGGTCCCTCCAGGCCCCTCTGGCTAAGCCTCTAGGCGAGCCTTGGGCAACAGTGGGAAGGTGGGCCCTGGTCCTCACCAGTGGGGCAGGTTCTGGTGCTGGGATGTGGTGGTCTCCTGGAGCGGCCCACTGGAACCTCTGTCTGCCCACAGGCCCTTCACTGCTGAGATCTACCGACAGAACGCTATCAGGTTGCACAAAAGGAGCTGACAGGGCCATGAGGGACCTGTAGAAAGCTGATCTGGCCTCCAGGCTGCCCCAAGCAACAACCCTTCTTGGGGAGAGCAGCGCTGGCCACTGTACCTGTGCCTTGGAAACCAGTCCTGGGGGCCTCGGGCATTATGCAGCGTGACCACTGGGACCCCCATCCCCACCCTGCCTGGACACACTAATAAAGGCATTGCGACCTCAGCACCTCTCTGATCCGCTCCCTGGTCCCCTTCCCGTCCAGGTCCCAGGAGGGGAGGTGTGTGAGGGATGGGCTGTAGGCTGTGGGAGGGCTGGGCAGGGCAAGGGACTACATCCCTTGAGGGCTTCTGGGCCAGATTGGTGTGGCCCTTTCTTTTCCGTGCAGCTTCCTGGTGCTGTCCAGGATCCAGAGAGAACTGTCAGAAGACCTCAGCAATAGAACTGGCTGCAGCCACAGCCTTTCCTAGGCAGTGGGCACCCTGGGTCACCATGCCCCAGCATTCCCAGGACATGCCCTCGCTGCCAGGAACACAGTTCAATGTCCACCAGGCTGGATGCTGAGGGCAGAGGTCTGTGAGATTAAGTGGCACTACCGTTCCACTAAGATTGCCACCCAAAAGCAGAGCATAGTGGACACCACTGCGTCCATCTGAGCTGGGTAAAATTCAGCTGGAGAGATGGGATGTGTAGGCAGGGCACAAGTGATCAAGAAGGCGAGGTCACAAGTTGATACTAGGGCATCAGAGGGGGTGAAGGACAGCCTTCCTCTGCCCCTCCTGGCGCTGTGTGGCCATTAGCAGCTGGTCCCATCTTGACCCTCAGGACTCCAGGCTCCTGATGGATAAACTTTGCTGGAGTTTGGGGTGATCATCCCAACTCACCAAAGACCCTCATCCCATAGTCTCAGCTGCATTCCTTTACCATAGCTCATCACTGGCCCAGAAAACCTTGTGAGATTTGGGGATCCAGAGAATCAGCCTATAGCCGTTCTAGCCCAAGGCTAGCTCATGGGACAGCATCTAAGGGCTGCCCTATCCTGACATCCTGTTATTGTCACCCAGGCCCCTGGCCAAGGCTTGCATGGTCTTTTACAAGTGGCCAGGGCCTACCATCTCACTGCGCACAGGTCTCCTGGCTCACATTTCCAGGCCCGCCCCAGGCCGGAGCATCAGCTAGAGTCCTAGGTTGGGCAGACAAGAATCATACATTTTATTGGTGTGGCCTCAGAACCTTGCTGCCCTGGGCCCTTGACAGGGTCTAGGATTGTCATCTTGAGCTGTGTCCCTCTCTCATACCCCGCTGGGTAGGTGGAAGGTACCAGGACCACTGAAGCAAGCAGTCATTACTTGTGTCCTCACTGAAAATAGTCCTGTGCAGGTCCGGCCCCGCAGCTCAGGCAGGTGTCCTGGCAAGGCTGAGTTAGAGAAACACTGGTACCCTTGGCACCAAATGGAGCAAAGAACCACCACCACCAATGCTGCCCCCTTATCCAGGCCTCTGCAAAGGAGGCTCAGCTCTGATCCCTGGAACCCTGCATCTACTAGCTCAACTAGCTCAGCTGCCAGGTTGTAGGTCTGGGCAGAGGGAAGAGGCAGCCCAGCTCCCTGAAGGCTGGGTGGAGGCAACAGCCAAGGCAGACATGGAGATGACGCCATCTCAGAGGTGAGAAGGGGCTGCAGGAGGACTCTGGGGAAAGGAAGAGACCTGAATACCCACTGAGGACCGTGGGCCATGGTGTCCTGGTCATACACTCACAGCAGGACTGGGCATGTGTGTCTGAACCCCAGTGTGTCAGTTCAAGTCCAACAGGAGACAGGGACGAGGTGGAGCCCACCAAGGAGGCTCAACAGGCTGAGGTGGGCCGGTTGCCAGAGAGCCGGGGCTGCCTCCCGATTAGTGACCATGTTGCTTTGAGCCCAGGCCGAGACAGTGTGTCGTGGTGGGGGAACATGGTAGGACAAACTGCTCACTGAGAGGGAAAGAGTAAATGAGGAAAAGGCTGGAGCCCCATTCAAAGACTCGCTATAACCGGAAGATTACCCACCAGGCCGGGTGTGGCAGCACACGCTTTAATCCCAAGCACTTGAGTTCAAGGCCAGACTGGTTTACAGAGCAAGTTCCAGGATAGCCAGGCTGTTAATGAAAAGAAACCCTGCCTTGAAAAACAAACAAGCAAACAAACGAAAACACTACCCACCAGGCCCCTCCTCTTAAAGGCTCTGCTCCCTCCCAAAAGCACACTTTGAGGATCCAGCCTTTCAACTTCAGACTCTAGCAAGTGGCCATATTCGGTGAGGTCCTTGCTGATGGAGACCTAGGGCGCTGCACGACGAGACCACATCCTGGCCCACCTCTGCTGCTCTTCTAACGAAACCCCTGTCTCGGGAGACGCCCTCTCTTAGCCGTGGTCACTTCCAGGGGGGCTCTGATGGGGACACACTCCACCGTAGACAGACCGTGTCTTGATTACGTGGCCTCTCAGTGGACACTGGGGGCTCTCACTCCAGTGCTGTGACTGACACACCATGGTGAGCACTTGTGTCCCTGTCTACTCGGGCAGTCTCCATTGCTTCGGGGAACACGCTTAGAGATGGAGTCACTAAGGCCACCAGCCACACAGGCTTGAGTCACCTCTCCGCGTTTGTTTACGGTCTTCGTCACTTTACATTCCTCTTCAATCGTCATCTTTTCTGAAATGGAGTCTATGTAGTCAGACATATTTTTGCTTTCTCACGGTAGTGGGTAGTCACACTTTTAATCTTTTATTTGGGTTTCTTAATGCCTCTCCTATACCTGTACCTAAGACCTTCCGACACCAGGTAAGAGAGAAAGAAGGTTAGTGGAGAGAAGAAGGTTAGCTACTTCCTGCTGGTGAGGTTCTTTGGGTTCCTTGGGGAAAGTTCAATCTTCATTTCAGGAAATCTCCAAGTTTTTCTTCTTCTTGTCAAACTGCAACAGCAGCAACCAGGAGCAGCTGGGAGAAGCATCGGCAGCCTTCTTTCTGGGAGCCCCCCTTCTTTCTGGGAGCCCCCCCTTTCTCTCTGGACTCTGGCATTTATTCCCTCTCCAGAGTCTTCAGACTTCAACTATCTGCAGCTGGAAAGAGCCCCACCCAGAGCCCGCACGAGGCAAATAGTTTGCCGCCACGGGCAATCTGAATCAGCCCCATATCCACACCTGGGGTTAACACAAAAACATGTTTACAATAACAGGACTGAGTTTTTAAAGACACCAAAACTTTCCACTGCTGTGCCCAGGGCTTTGTACCTGCTCTTTCGCCGAGTTACATTCCCAGCTCTTCCCCGTGTGGTCAGATGGTGTTTTTCAGGCTGGATGACATTGAAGTTGAGAGCATAAGCTGAAGGGCAGTTATTCCGGGCATCGGGATGATGTGTGCCAAGGCGCCGAGGTGATTCTCAAGGATGGATTTCCACAGGAGTGACTATGAGCACCTTCCCACTTGGAGGTTCTGGGCTACGACACTCTTGTTTCAGTGAGCCCTAGGCTGCCAGTCCAGCCCAAATGGACTGGCCTTGAAGACAGAATCTCCTCTGTCCAGTGGGAAGTTGAAAAGGAAGTCCTCTTCCTACTGCCTGGCCCTGGGCCTAACACACCCCACAGGCTGGTGTGGAGGCTGTAGGAAGGTTGGGGAAACAGGGATAACTTGCCTCTCCCCGAGGCAGCTAGCAGGACTTTGGTCATGGGGAGGAAGGCAGGGGGTTGGGTTGGAGAGGGATGCCGTGTACCCCACTGCTCTTTGATGGCTGGGGTCTTCCTGCTGTGGTAGCAGAGGTGTGGGTGATAGATACCAGAAAGTGACAGCGCCAGTGTCACCTTGCATCTAGAGGGGACTGAGGTGTGATGTCAGGCCCAGCCTTGACACTGACCGTGGAAGGAGAGAAGGCCGTGGATCCAAGCTGAGCCCTGGGTCTCTAGATGTCAGGAGGTGGAGCTGGACCACGTCTTTGGCCCTGCCACCCCTCTGTTTTTATCCCTTTGATCTTCCTGGGACTGGAGACCCAGGGGGAATGGTGACATCGGCCATCCTGAGTCGGAGCCCCAGCCTTCCACACAATGCCTTCAGGAGGCAGAGGGAAAGGGCCTCAGTCTGGAGTAAGCAGCCTTGATTGCACCCTTCCCTTGGCTCCTTAGTGAACACTCTGTGCTGCTTATTGCACACGGCAGTCCTGTGTTTGGCTCAGGCTCCGGTCCTCAGAGGTGAGGGCAGGCACCCCATATGTAGAAGGGATGGAAGCAGCAGTAGGGGCAAGAATCAAGAGAAGTGAAGATTTCACCCCAACTAGCCTGTCCTAGATCTAGCTGATGAGTCCCCGGGTTACTCGATTGATATGGATGTAGAAGCAGCCTGGGAGGGAGGGAGAGAGGGAGGGAAGTGAATATGGATATCCTGCTAGCCTGAAAGGGCCAGACAGTTGCAACCGCCTCTGGATGCTGTGGGGGCACCGGCAGAGGTAAAGATAGGACAATCGGGAGCCAGGCGGCGTACTCACTGGGCGAGGCAGCTGGCTTCCCTGCTTTAGTTCTTCATCTGTCAAGTGCTACTTCTTCTCAGGCCCCAGTGCCGGCTCCAGAGAGGGCGTTGTCCCTAGACCACCAGATCCCTCCACCTGGCCGTGAGGGCCCCGGGCAGGATGGCTGGGCGCTGGAGATCTGGAGTCTGAGCTTTGCAAGGAAGGGATGAAACCTTGGGGGCACTGTGCAGACATCTCAGTAGGTGGGAATGACCTAACCCTTCCTGTGGGGCACCAAGACTGCCTGGATGGGTGAGCGGCATCTGTCAGTCGGTGGGTCTCCGGGCTTCTAAAGAGACAAGGTCGAGGCAGAACGAGAACACAGCTTGACTTCATCACTTACAAGCAGCAGGCATCCTATTTCTCCCAAGCGTTACTCAGTCCTGGCTACTGATCAACCTGCCACTGGCTTCCTCCTTGGGCAGCCTTCCTGGTGCCACACTTTTATTGTTTTGACAAGGCGCTGGTCTTAGAAAGTGTTTGCACTTTTTCACAATCGAGGAACCAGTGTCGTCTTCCAGAAAGGGAAACCGAGCTACAGACAAGGTCCTGCTCCCAGGCCTCCTCTGAAGCTTTCGTTCCCCACCCCTGACCCCAGCTCTCTCAATGCAAAGTGGCCCATGAGAGGGGTGGGAGACCAGAGGGGCTGCTGGCCTGTTTTGTATTTCTTAAAAGGGCGTGTCTCCAAGTCAGAGATAGAGGATGGTAGCTGTCCTTTGCTGAGGTCCCTACAGACCAGATTATCTCTAGTTGGGATAATGAAAACAGGAATGTGAGTCGGTGGTGCCCCAATCTGTCTCCCCCGCTCCCAAATCCCCTTACTGCCCCTTGCCCATCTCCAGCTTGGCCACAACCTTCAGCTTCCCAGTGTGCCCGTGGGGCTCCCTGCTTCCCTCTGGTGGCGGAAGCTCAAAGCGCGGACGGTAGCGCAGAAAACCCACAAACACCCGACCCTGCGCCCCAAAAAGCAGCGCGGCCCGGGGACCTACGTGACTGGAGCTGGGCCAATGCCTAGCAAACCTGTTGCTATCACCAGATCATATTTTGTGGGAAACTGAGGCCCAAGGAAAGTGAGAGAATGATGTTGAGAGAATGGAGATCCCAGAGGTCACAGAGTCAGTGGCACAGTCAGGGCCCCCGCGGCTGTCGTGGTGTGAAACGCCGGTCCTCGCGTGGTGGTGACCTGTACTTAGTCCTCCCAGCGCACGTAGGGCTGGAGCGGAGCCGGGGGCTCCAAGGCGAAGGTCGCGGAGTCTAGGAGGAGCCGGGCTCGCCGGGGGCGGGGCGTGACGCACCTAGGCTGGGAGGCGCCAGCCCGGGCGCCTCGGCAGGCTGCATATAAGGGCGGTGTGTGGCGCGGAGAGCCAGAGCCCGCTCCCTGTGCCCCAGAGCCACCTCAGCTGGTTCCGAAGCCAAGCTCTTCCCGCCCCACCGAGCCCTCTGCAGCCCTCCGCCTCCTCTCGGCCCCGCATCCGCCCCCGGGGCAATGAAACTGGCCGCGATGATCAAGAAGATGTGCCCCAGCGACTCTGAGCTCAGTATCCCGGCCAAGAACTGCTACCGGATGGTCATCCTCGGCTCATCTAAAGTGGGCAAGACGGCCATCGTGTCGCGTTTCCTCACGGGCCGCTTCGAGGACACCTACACCCCCACCATCGAGGACTTCCACCGAAAGTTTTACTCCATCCGCGGGGAGGTCTACCAGCTGGACATCCTGGACACGTCCGGCAACCATCCGTTCCCCGCCATGCGGCGCCTCTCCATCCTCACGGGTGAGTTGGGGAGCGGCGGGGGTTTGGAAGGGGCTGGCGTGCTGCGCGCGGGGCCCGCGCCGTCCGCTGCTCCGCGCCCGGCAGCTGCCCTCACCCTGTCCCCTCGTTCCCCTGTAGGAGACGTTTTCATCCTGGTGTTCAGCTTGGACAACCGCGACTCATTCGAGGAGGTGCAGAGGCTCAAACAGCAGATCCTAGATACCAAGTCCTGTCTCAAGAACAAAACCAAAGAGAACGTGGACGTGCCCCTGGTCATCTGCGGCAACAAGGGGGACCGGGACTTCTACCGCGAGGTGGAGCAGCGGGAGATCGAGCAGCTGGTGGGCGCCGACCCCCAGCGCTGCGCCTACTTCGAGATCTCGGCCAAGAAGAACAGCAGCCTGGACCAGATGTTCCGCGCGCTCTTTGCCATGGCCAAGCTGCCGAGCGAGATGAGCCCCGACCTGCACCGCAAGGTGTCGGTGCAGTACTGCGACGTGCTGCACAAAAAAGCTCTGAGGAACAAGAAGCTTCTGCGCGCGGGCAGCGGCGGCGGCGGCGGCGACCCCGGCGACGCCTTTGGCATCTTGGCGCCCTTTGCGCGCCGACCCAGCGTGCACAGCGACCTCATGTATATCCGCGAGAAGACCAGTGTCGGCGGCCAGGCCAAAGACAAGGAGCGCTGCGTCATCAGTTAGGAGCCCCCCCCCCCCCCCCCCCCCCCCCCCCCCCCCCCCCCCCCC